GGCCAGACGTTGCTCTGAAGGTGCCCCCGGCATCTCTCCTTGAGGTTGGCATGGTTTATGTTGTGTAAGCAATGACTTGAAACATTGCCATTGCTCCTCTTGTACAGTAGTGATGTTCAATGTGCAAGAAATCTGATTTTGCGAAATTTATAGAGAATTTCCCTCAAAAGGGTGGTCATATAGCACTATATTTGATGCATGTCTTCTCTGTTCCTTCGCCCTTTGTGACTATATATTGAACATATTTAGTATTCCTTGTATTCTTAAGAGCCTGTTGACATGACTTTGGAAAAGTTAAAAAGGAGCATTTGAGATCCAAATGTTGTTTTTGGATCTGTTTGACCAATTTTATGAAAATGCTTCTTTTAGTTAGAAGAGTTTTTAGAGAAAATTAGTCGAATGTGACTTCCTCCAAAAATACTTCCGAAATAGAAAATTATTTTGAAAATTAATTTCCAAACAAAAATTAAGGTAAATTCTTCCAAAAGCTGAAGCAAAAGCCACATGGACCCTTATTCATAAAGGATTTAGGGGGGTAAATTTTGAGTAGGTGAGAGGTGTGAGAAAAATCTTGTAATATTCTCTGTTATGGTGGAAAATTTGAATTGGCAAAGCAACGTAGCTCTTGCATCGAGATTGAATTTGCTATAGCCTATAAATTTATGTCGTAATATAAGTTGTTAGCTTCGATAACATGAGTTGTAGAAACATTTGAATGCCTCCAAAAGAGGATAATTGACTATTGACATTGTGGGGATCAAATTATATACACTTGATTATAATTACGAAGAACGAGTTTGTATATTAAACATGATTAAGCTCTATTTGATATAGAATAAAATTAAATTTTTAGTATATTTTGATAGAAATTTGTAAAAACTGTGCTTGAAAAGTTATGAATTCCACGAAATATGTGATTAAAATTATTTTGAACTTTAATTTAAGATTTGAATCTATATCAAACAAGTGCTAAAAATGAGATACCGATACAATTTATAAGTTGTTTATATTTAGTACTATTTATTTCAGTGTGCCATACATGTTGTCAAGTATTCAAATGGATCTCTATCTCAACATAACATCAAATTTTAATATATTGTAACCCAATAAGGCATTTATTAGTCCTTGTTTGGGTTCCATTTTCCAAAAATATATTTTGTCAGGACTTATTTTCAATCATACATTCTCTCATAAAATAATGTTACACGTAAACTTAAAAATTTTCCTTATTTTTTAATTACACATTCTTCAAAAAATCATTATTCCAAAATATATTTCCTCCAAAACTCATTTTAATGGAACCCAAACATGAACTAATTGACTTATCTCGTGTGATTCAACCTTATATATAATGATTAGAGAACTGATACATTTGCAGTCATTAAGGGCTGTAAATTGTTCAGCCCTCCACATAAATATGGGGCCCACTAATTAATTCATGTGAGAGGACTTTACAAGTGCATTTTTCCTAATGATTATCCCTACAATATTGTCAAAATGGATTGAATAAGCCAGTTCACTCGAAAAATTAGGAATCGATTCAAATTCATCGCATTATTAATGAAAAAAGTTAGAAAAATGAAAATCGACAAATCAAGACTCAACTGATTCACACTACATTTTTTATTTTTTTCGTTCGACCTAGATTCGATTTCTGGGCTAATGACATTTGACATTTTTGTTAGATATATAAAAAATATATTACTTCAAATAAATAATTAAATTAAGATAGATGACCGAGTGGGAAAAAGTGTGAAATTCATGCCGGAGGTCGACGATTCAAATCACATTTGCAAATATTAAAAAGTTTATGATTGGACCTTGGACTTCTTTGATTAAATTTTTTTTTTTTTATAATTAGCCAATAAAAAATATCAATGGAGTCAATTACAGATAATTTATTTAAATCATAGTTTCATAAAATCACAATTTTATTTTAATTAATTTATGAATTGAAAGTTATAACTTGTGACCTATATATAATTATTTTACATATATTTTGTTATGGAAAAAAAACTTGAAAGTTCGGGAAATGTCTTATAATTACTGCACAAGTGATTTGATTATTGTATCTTGAAAGCGATTGTTCAAAGATGTCATATCAGTTAATGGTGGACAATTTAACTTTTGTATATCACGTTGTCACAAGACTTGGTTGGACGATAAATTAATATTCTTTAAAAGTAACTACAACTAATTTTCTCAACAATTTTCACTTCTAATTACCCAAAAGATCACAAATTAATGCCCTAAATTATATTCTCATATGGGGAAAATATCTAATTTCATGTTTGTCAATTAAAAAGTGTTTAATTTTGATAACTCTTACAGAAATGACTAAATTTAGTACTAGATTATTTATTATACCCTTAATGAAAAATGAAGCAATTTATTTTTTCAATTTGTCACAAATTTCGAGAAGCATAAATATCTTCCATGAGAAGCTACATTAAACTGACGTTCTCGACATTTTAAAAATTGTTATCGATATTTGAACTCTATTTATCTTGATACTTCATTTATTTAAAACGAAATTTCATTCCGAATAAGAGAGTTTTCTACGTTTTATAAATTTCTAGACATTTGAAATGTAGTGCATAATATTTATACATGTGTCAATGAGAAATATAAAATGAAAAAAGCTAGAGGTACCAAAAAAAAAAAAAAAAAAAAAATTGTACAGGAATTTGAATTCCACTCATATGGAAGGCCGGCCCCATGTGAATTAAATATTGCCAAAAAAAAAAAAAAGGTCGAGGCTCACCTGTTTGTGTGTATTCTATCCGACTTCTGTGGATACTTTTTCCGTACCCAAAGCATTGCTCATGTAACATTTTAGGACATGTTCGGTAGGGATTAAAATCAGATTAAAATTGAAAAAATATCCATTATTATTGACTTTTATTAGACGAGTGAGACCCAATAACAGCCATATTTTCAATTTTAATTGGATTTTAATCCCTACTTATTGTGATTTGACATGTGTAGTTTGAAATAAGTAAGGTAGATAATGTGTCAAAATTTTATTAGCCAACAAAATATTTAATTGTATGCACATTTTTGTTTTTAATGTGGAATTATAAATTGTTAACAAGTGTATTTTGATCTAAAATATTGCAAAATTGACATTGAAAATTTTTTGGACATTTTTACAAATAACCGTGTGAATTTTACGTTGGTGCTCACAAGGTATGTCTCAATCCTTTTGAAAATCCTTTTTTTCATCTCTTCATTTTGTGCTACAGGAGAGAGATGGTACTTGGCATTATGACATTATCTTTCTCTTTCTTTAATACAGGACGGGTTACTTGGAGGACCAATAAATTCACAGAAACTTCTCAATTTCCTATGGTTCCTTCATCTGATATGCGGATATGGGAGCGCCGTTTGCTTTACTGCGTTCCTGTGAGTAGGGGCGAACCCAGGATTATGGTTCCGGGGGGGGGGTGTGAAACACAATTCCGTAAAAAATAATTTCAAATTAGACAATAAAGATAACAATTTCAAATCAAGCTTGGTGAAAAATCTAACCAAATAGCTAATGAAATAATAATTGAAAACTAGTGCATGGCAATAGCACAAAAAGTAGAAATCAAGGAGGAAAAGGAACACAGGCTACATGCAATTCAAGACTCAAAAACTAATCGGCATCCTTTATGCAGAGAAATATGTGATCCACAATTATAGAGACTAAAGAACGTCCAGCTGCTTCTCTAGAATGCTGCAAGAAAGAGGCAATTCCAATTTATATATAATACAGCTAACTGGCAGAAATGATTTAGTGAGTAGATATACTGTCAAAAGCTACTATAATTCAGTTGTCAGTAGTAAAAATATGCTCAAAGAAGTGACATTGACAATGAATTCATACTCGTTGATCATTTGGATTAACAACATCTCGATTTAAACAGACATACAATCCCATGAAGAAGCGGAAAAGAACCCGTAATCCTGCAGACATATTGGTAGCATATAATCAACAATTTCAAACAAGAAATTATCCAAGAATACACCAAAAAGAACATTAAATTCTTGTACTTACCTGGTTCACTTAAAAGCAGGACAAACAGCTTCTGGAATATGCAATTGAACTTCAAGCCCAAGTGGAGAATTTAGTTATGTCCTTTGTAGTGTGATCTGAACATAACCATAGAAGTTCAACTACTGTTATATAGAACTTTAAAAAACTCAGTCACTTGCACACATCTAGATGATATTTCCCAGACGAATAACAAAGTTAAAGCATTTCCTAGCAGGTCAGCTAGTCTCTCTCCAGTAAAATGAAAAGTTTCTTCGGGATCTACTCAGATGTTAAGTTGCATACCTAAGCCTCTCTTGATATTCCTTCAAGGAATCGTTGAAGGAATCGTTCTCCACCAAAGAATACTCGCTTTGCAAAAGTATTGGCCCATCAAGCATATAGAGGCCAAACATTGTAATATTCAAGAAATGGCAAGTTACAGAAAAACTTGGTAACGTAAGATTACACTATGTAGTTTACAATTTGATGAGTTCAACCCTTTTTGGGTTAAATTTGAAAGGGAAAAATAAACGCCATAAAGACTCAAATTTTCCCATCTTTTCTCTAATAAAATTTTCACATTTCACAGACAGTGAAATAGAAAACAAAACTCTAGGACTTTGGGTTAATAGAAAATACAGCAAAAGACTCCAACTTCACCCTTGTTTCTCAGCCTTTCTGTTTCCTCAAGCATATAGAGGCCAAAATTTTGCAAGAAGCAAAAACCCAAAAAATAGGTAATGAAAAACCCACGACGTTTTTTGTTAAGAAAAGACCCAAAGAAATATTTTTTTATTAAATTCCAAGCAAGAAACAAAGAAAATAAGCAATTTTGAAAGTGTTAAAGAGACAAACCTGTGCTCAAAACCCAAAAAAAATCTCACCTAAAAGCTCCAAGAACAATATTGCACCATCTTTATCTTTCCTATTAGACCCTTCCTGAGAGACTGCAAAATTGGCGTCCGAAAACATATTGGGATTTGGGGAAAGGGAAGGGAATTTGGGAATTTGGGGAAGGGAAAAATTCACTTTTCCTACTTTATCTTCATCCTATTTCAAAAATAACAAAACAACTTTCACATTTCAAAAAATCAGATTTTTTAATCTATACATACACATATATATAAATATTTATTTATATATATAAATATATAAAAAGATATAAATAAATAAATATAATTAACCCACCCCCCCCCCCCCCCCCCCCCCCCCCCCC